GTTGACAAAACCAGTTGCGATACCCTGTGTATTAAAAAAATGTGGGTTCTTTCTAGACAAAACCGCGGACCTGTATGACACTCTCAAGTTCTCAGTGACAGTTTTTGGTTCTCTTCGTTGACGCAAGAGGATTGTTTTGCCAAGCAATGATCTTTGTGTCTACGTGATGTGTATACACTTGTTTCGCGCACTGCCGCGGCCATGGTGCGAGGAATGGCTCAAGCATGCGACTCCATTCCCTGTAAGCACTGGAAAGCACAGATTCATTCTCTAATGTCTTGGCAACACGCGAATGTTTGTCAACAAAGGCGCGAGTACTAGTTGTGCAATGCAGTGTGAGTCCTATGGGGCTTGGGATGGGCGTGGGCTCTTGAATTTTAGCCCTTGGAATTAGTACCCGGTAATAACTTCTTATCATGGCGAGGACCCATGAAAAAAGTGAAGTGAAATCCCTTTTATTGCGGTCAAACTCTATTATTCCGAATACGGAAAGCTCTCAGAATGTTGAATATCGATTTCGGAACCTGTGGTTGATAATGAACGGAAAAAGTAATGTCACACTTGTTGACAGCATCCAGATGACTAATTTAAGGAGAAGTAGGGCAAGATCCCGCTGTATGGGTTGAACTAGTCCCTGCTAATGGCACGTGCGCATGTGGCTCTGTTATACCATACCGCAGAGCATCCCGCCCGGTGGGTGCCAGAGTCGAGAAAACCTTACACCGTTCATCGGATATGATGCACGAACTCGACCGGAAGCCTTTGACGTGATGTTTCAATGGTTGGAGGGCGGGGACCGGAGTGGTACGGTTCTGCAATTATGCAGTTCAAGTGTTCTACCATCAGTTCATAGCAATCCGTCAGTCTGCGCCACTGCTCGACATTACACCAATTAAAATGAAAGAAAACAAACCCTCTTCGACGTTATGACCTGAGTGGGTCTGCAAGTATGGAAAAACACTGAAATATTTCCTAACCTCACACTACTCGGTGGAGCTCCAAATACCTTAGGCCTACCATACGATACCTATGCTAAGTGGAATATTTCTGTCTAAGAATGCCATGCCTACTTCGGCCTCACTTTGGCCCACAGTTTGGGGTAGCTTATAAGCACAGTTTTTGCACTCCCCGGGGATGGGCCCGAAAGACTTCAGCAAGATTGAAGACAGCGGTCTAGTTTTAATTTCAGGACCTGAAAAGTCGACAAAATAACCAAAACAAAACAAAAAATAGGCCATAAAAACTGGCAACAAGTTGACAAATTTATTCAGCTGAGAGGCTTATAGTTTCACAAGATGGTTTACATTTTGTTCAGTTCCTGTACATTTTATCCGTTTTTAATAATATTTACGAACAGGCGGCGTCCTAATCACTTGGCTGCGGCGCAAAATTACAATCGACTCTATGGGAACTAGCTTTGAATTGTTTTAAAAAAAATGAAAATCTTACAACTTATCTTGGTCACTTGTTTTAGGTTTTACCTAAAAGATCACCACATAACAATTTTTGCAAATATTTACGAGCGTACAAGTACATTAAGTAACACAAGTTGTTATGTATGTTAAATCACTGAGAAGGGAGTACCCTTACTTGGAAGACCAATTTTTGGCATGATATTATTCACTTTCCATAAATTAAATTTGAATGTAGGAATGATTTAAGAGGGTTTTTTAGCTGGCGATTTAAGAAGCCAATAAATGAAAAAAATTATTGTAAATTCTAAAATTTTACACGTTATTAATTTTGTCTTTTTCAAGGGTACAAGTTCCAGAAGCGCGCCATCAGGGGTCAACATGTTGCTCAAAGAGGTCATCTACTTGCTGCAATTCCACCACGTGAGGGCGCTCTTTGTGAGTTTTCGTTGCATCACAAGTGTTTGTGCGTTTTATGGAAGCCTTTGCATGAATAACGACCATCAATATTAGCTGCAGCTGGAGACTGTCAATATTGTATTTTTTGAGAGAAGCAACACTTAGGGAACGAAGATTTGAAACAAATTATGGCATCATCGTACAAATTCGATTCTCAATTTGTCTTCGGATGTATTTGTTTTGTTAAGTGAGTAGTCACCGTGGCTATTTGGCCTAAATTTTATGCCGTGATAAGCTTCCGTACCGTTACAAAGCAGGTCTGCAAAAGTACGTTCACCTGCCACCGGCATTATATTCGAGGCGTGATCTTGCAAGAATTGTAGTTTGGCCGCTGAGCTGAGCATTTCTATCTCCTCTCTTCGCTTCAAACTGAATTTACCACCCACAATGTCTGCCAAAAGTGTCAAGGCAAAGTGCATGCTTCATGGAGAGACGGTGAAGGGACAACTTACTTTCGAACAAGAAGAGGTTAACACTTGCATGTATTATAGCCTTGGATTAACCACATAAACCACGGCAGTTTTCTTTAAGCTTTTCTTGAATGGCTGGTGCCAGCAACTGCGGTAAGGCAAGGGTTGAGTTTAGCACTCAGTCGGCCCAGTTAGTCATGGCTAGGTACATTCATTGTCGACTTCTGGGCTGCACCATGTGCACCGCGGTGCCTTGCTTCAACTATAATGTAAGGAAGAACAGTCTGCAGTGATGCAACTCACACAGATTTGAAGTGAAACTTAGCTAGGCCCAATAGGTAAGAGTTCCATATACTGACAGCACTGGACAATACTACTTTTCCCTTGTCCCAAACATGTCCCAAAAAGTGAAATTTAGCAGAGGAAAATTCTGAAAGCATGTACAATGTACTCAGAAAACACTTTTTTTAAAATGACGGCATTGGGTGGTTCCTTTTGCTGAATCCAAACAAGGTATTAAAAGGATCCCCAGAGCAATGGTAGGATCACCAAGCCCACTGGAAAAAAAACTGTCCCCATTTAGAGGGATATTTTCTCTTTCTGGGGGCTGATTTTGTCCTTGAATAAAGGGACTTCTCCAAACACAAGGACAGTCTGTGATGTGCGCATCCAGACCGGTCTAAAGAAATGTCTTTTCTAAGTGGATGCCTCCATTTTTTACTGCTACCGTTGACTTTTTAGGAGATGTTTAAATCACTCTAATAAACCACTGCAGAGGGGAAAGAAATGGTGAAGTCAGTGTCAGGAACTCTTACCCTAATGGAAGTTAAGATGAATCTTCAGGTTTGCATTACCCAGAAGTCAGATTGGAAAAAAAAATGAACTCGCTAAAATTTGTATTTTGTGAGTTCCACATACCAAAGTTAATTAGGGGGCACGGTACCTGTATCTAGTAGTTGGATGTTATACAACATGTACAATGCCCGCGTAAATCCCCATCATCTGATTTGTTGATCGTTAAGCACGTCACTGAATTATTTGTTCAATAGAAAAGCCATAGATCCATTGTCTTCCATGGTTGACATCACAGCAAAAAAATAGGCCCTAGTGGCCATCCTGAAAATGTAAATAAAAAGATTAAAAAACCCCAACTGCCTGTTCCTTATTTCTTCCTCTTTCTTAAAATACCAAAAACAGCTGCAAAACACTTTCAGCATGATGGCTGAAGTAGATGTGGGGTGGCCACTTTTACCAATCTAAGCAATTGATGTCGCTTTTCATTTGCCACTACCATTATGTGGTCGCATTGTTACTTGTTTAGTTAGCTCAATTGTCCGGCCCCCCTGTTTTTGGCTTTCAACAGGGTGGACCTGTCAAAGTGACTGGTGATGTGACTGGGCTGGCACCGGGTAAGCATGGATTCCACGTCCACGAGTTCGGGGACTACACCGGTGGTGAGTATACGTACACCTAGGCCCTTTGCAGTGTAAACAATACCTCACGTTCTCTGTCCCTACCTCGGTAAAGTTGACTTTGCCCTGGGTTGACTCTCTGGTCTTGCATGCAAAGCACCTACGTTTGTGATATGTACGTGAACTTCAGGACATATACAACATGCAGACAAGCATCCCTTAAAACTGTGAGTGACTTCAAATACGAAACGCTTTTCAGCATAAAGGAGTCTGCCCTTGAATCAAATGTTTGGAATCAAAATGAGGGGTTCAAAAAGTTAGTTTTCCTACCCATGCTATGTGGGCATCACAATCTTTCAGTACGGTGGATGTTCACTTTTGCATAATTATGAACTGTTGAAGGAGAAGATTCAAAATACATGTACCAATGATTGAGGTACATGTACCTAGGAAAGGGAAAACAGAGACTTGTAAGATTTGAAACATTTATCTCCATGCTGCCATTTGTTACATTGTGCAGAATCTGTGTAAATTACAAAGAAAATTCATGATTTGATTGTTAAAAGATGTCACATGGATGAAATAGAATCCGGACTAATGACAGCATGTACATGCAGGTATCGGATAAAAACACAGACAGACAGACAGACAAAGCACCATGATATGGACAATAGACAGGGCCAGCACAAAACACAACTTAGACACAAACTGATGGGAGACTGCATCAAATACCGTAGCTCAGAAGAGCTTACTCAACCAACACAGGCAGGTTTGCTGCATGAAGTCTTTCCAGGGGCAACAAGTTTTCTAGTCGTGTAAAGTGCAGATTACTTGCAACCAAAAATGAGGACAGATATCTAGCCTCCCATGCCGAATGAAAACTTCAGTTCTTTACTTCTGCTTGAAGTGACTAACGCCATTCTAAATGGTATAGTATTCCTTTACCTATATTGTACATAACTCCGCAGGCTGCACCAGCACCGGCGGCCATTTCAACCCATTCAAAAAGAACCACGGGGCACCGACGGATGAAGAGAGGTAAAAGGAAGTCCTTGTTATGTATCTTGGATTCAGGCTTTACTTGATTCTTTGTTTGTGCTTTGATGAGTTAAGGTTATTTTGAGTTCATCAGCCACAATTTTGGGGGTCGATTTCAAGTGGTTTGGGAAGGTGGGATCTTTCAACACCTTCAGAAAAACCAGCACATAGTTAAGGTCTGGCTAAATTATACATTTTTTAAAACTTGTGCACGGGACAGTTGTTGAGCATCAGATCATTTCAAGACCAAAGTTCGTGGTTTTCAAACTTCTTAAGTTGAACACTGCATCAAGTTTTTACACTCTTTCCCCAATGGTGAATCCATTTGATTTACATGTGAAGCTGGAAGCATGACCTGTACGTGTATATGGAGAGCTGTTTATAAGGACATGCAATAGTCTGGTTACTTGACTTGAAGTAAGACATAGAAATTATAACTCAGTCCTTGATTTTGTTCCTGTCCGTCTCCTTGGATCTACAATGGACGACAAGCACATGCTAGCATTGATGCTCCTTGCACTAACTGATCCTCTTTTGTGTACGGTGCATTTTTCAGTGTCTTCGAATTCTCAAAATGTTCAGATCTAGTGTGGCATTGAACGGGTTGATTGGACTGGGTCAGTGTTTTGTTCTAATTTAATTGATTGACCTGTTCACTTGGAAGTTACCTCCTTTGTTTTCAGGCACATTGGAGATCTGGGCAACGTGGAAGCCGGCTCAGATGGCACAGTGAGCGTGAACATCACGGATAAAATGATCTCTCTGATCGGTCCAAATTCCATCATTGGCCGTGCAGTTGTGGTGAGTTGTCATGCCCCGTGCCAAGCTGGTTAAGAAAAACAAAGGTTTCATTTACCGTGATCTCTTTGAATCAGCACAACATTGCTCTTGTTATTTAACACGTGCACCAAGTATCCAGGGAATTTTCCTTCGACTTGATAATGTTGTACCATCCTCATACATAAACTTTGGTAATGATTAGAGACTAGAGACCATTAACATTGGTTTGAAATTGGGTAAGCGTTAAAATAATCGAAAGTCCTTTACTTCCCGGAAACCTTCAAAATCAGTTGGGAGGTTTGAGAGGATCTTGCAGGGTTGATTGGCTCAGCCTCTCTATACCCAATCTATTATCTGTTGTCATTTGATACTGCATAAAATGCCCGATGCATAGCCCAAAGTTACAGGTTCGGGAACCACACACTTGAAGAAATGCCACATTAAATTGGCTTTTAAAAAAATGAGCCCTCGCCCCCTCCAGATGTGGAGGTGTGAAGCTGCTCCACGGATCAGCAGACTTTGGTGGAGGATGTGTGGCCCGGCGGTTAGGGTTAATAGTTCCTGATCATAGGGTCGGAGGTATGATCCAGCAGCTGGTCACATGTTGGGGTGGTGGGCAAGTCACTTTACCCCTGCATGTCGCAGAGGTAAACGGGTACCCTTGAGGGCAGATGTGGTTATTGTGTTCAGCCGATTGCACCTGAGATGACAGCACTGCGCTGTAATGTTCTCCAGGGAGCTGAGATGGTTTCAGGAATGTGCAGACGTCAGGAGCCCGATGAGCAGTGATCATAATGTTGTATATGCTCTGTGATCTTTCAATATCATTACCGTGCCATGGCAAACTGAATAACGCCTGGTCACCTACATTTGAGTTGCAGTGTGTTCAACTTGTGAGGAGTTGTGGAATGAATAGGTAATCCGACGTCTCAGTTGTGTATTTGTGTCGAGTATGAGTCTACTTTTTGTCTGTTGTTCTAAGTCTGATGCCGTTTGGAATTTCCTTTTTCGTCCTTTGCTTTTTTTCCTTTGTTTTTATTGTCTGGTAGTTTTGTTCTGATAAGGTAATCCCACCTGACTGGCGAAACGTTACATTCAAAGATTAAGGCTTTAAAGTACGATTGCTGTTTTCTTTTCATTTTCGTCCCAAGGTGCACGCCGATGTGGATGATCTAGGCAAGGGCGGTCACGAACTAAGCCTGACCACAGGCAACGCTGGTGGACGTCTTTCCTGTGGCGTCATTGGTATCAGCAAGTAAAAAAAAACAAACAAGCAGCCTGGGCTCGCCACGTGCAAGACATAAACTCGCAGAGTTCACCCTTCAGCATAACCAGTTTATTGTGGTGTTGGGCTTGTCTGAATAATTTGATCAAGTTTGTTTACTGATTTTGTGGAGGAGGGGATCGGTCATTGTTCACCTGATCGTAAATTTGTGTGTGTGTGCAAATTCTGACATAAAATGTTGGTGAAGAAAAACCTATATGCGTGATGAATAAGTAACTATTTCAACCAAATTAGAAGTTCACAAAGTGTTGTAGGATTTTTCTGCTTTTAGGGTGTAGCTAGACAGTAGCATTTGCACAAATAGCCAGTTTTGAGTTTGAACGTCTAAGAGGCTGTTCATGTTTCCAATTACTTGGGGATGGCCAGATTTTGATAAAAATTCGCCATAAAGACCCTAAGACTATGGTGATTATGTTTTGAAAACTTTTAAGGTAATTTAATTCATGTCATGCAACAGATGGAAGTTGTCAACCTTGAACGTTAGTGTAGCACTTGCTTTAGAGTTCGAACATCAGAAATTATGTACCGAAAAAAAAACCCTTGTGTATCAGTGGTGCCCACTTTGCAGAAGTGATTTTTGTTATTAAAAGTAAACTGAGAGGAAAGAAAAATGTGGCTTGAGTTCTTAGGCATTTTGTTTACAGGCTGACTTTTTAAATCATCTGTTACTGTTATGGAACCTTCGAGGACGGTTACAATGACGTTGTTTGATTCTAATGTTCACATCAAAAATCATCAGTTGGCATTAGATTTGGAAACTATGACCAGAATTCAGTCTTTGGAAATGTTTGATGTCCCAGTCCACTCATTCAGAAAATGCTTCTTTGGCAAGAAAAGTCGCAAACTTCACGAGGAGGCCTTTTGGTACCGTGAAGGGCGCCACCAGTTGTTGGAGATGGGTACGTGAATGGCGCGTGATGGTGCACCGCAACAAGTAGATTCCATAGACAGCATGATAAATGCCCATGCTTCACAATTATTTAAAAGTACAATTCTCATAGGTGTCCAGGCTGCACAGAAAAACAATGATTAAACTTCCCCTTTTATTGTCCTTTCAAATTTTGGGGGGCTGATAAATGAGTTTTTGAGACATTTTCCCCAGAAGCAGACCACCCTAAAATATGATCAAGAAACTGTCTCTGCCCACAGAAGTAGCCCTTTTGAAAAACTATGCCTCTTGCCAAATAGTGCCACTTTCGGACCCGATTGCATCCAAATTACTCAGAATTGGAATCCCAAAGTCCAGGCCAGACGTTCAGTGCCATATTTCTATAATTCCTCAATTCCATGGCTCTCAGGACTCTAATGTAGAATATTCTGCGATGTGTATTACTTTCGTTAATGGCTCAGCGGACATATTTCTGGCCTTCTTGCGTGGGTGCACTCTTGATACAGTTTCCATTCTGTAAAAATCACTGACATATAAACGCACAGACCACCAGATCGCTTTCAAAACTACATGGACATTTCGTCAGATCCGCGCGGCGCCTAACCAAAATCAAAACTAAGGGCGAATGGGGGTCAATTCACCAGTTCATTTTCACTCCTATATAGGTACCTAGGTACTTGTATGGGGAATTTACGCACTGTGTGTCCAGCCTTCAAGAAGCTATTTTTCGACTGTTAAGAAAAATCCCTATTTACTTAATCAGGCTTATGTAGGTTAAAAACAACGCGGCTGCAATTCACTTGAAGAAAAAAAGTATCAAGAAGCAAAAAAAAAAAAAAAAAAAGAACGTATTTGGGAGCACTCTTAAACAAATACAGGCAATTAGAGTGCGTTGCGCGTAATGCGCATTGAACGTGCTGTCATATTTCAAAATCATGGTTGAACTGTAGAACTTGTGGTATGGTGGTATATGTCTGTGATAAAAGTGCTGCAATGCAGTTTCGTTGATATATTTATTGCCTACAGTTTGGGTAAACGAAAATCCTTGGGGGGGGGTTGGGTGGGCGCGCATGGCCCTCGTTGGACCCCTTGCGTCCGCCCTTGGGACTTGGGACCTTCTCAATAAGAGCCAGCTGCAACTGAGCAGTAAAATTCAAGGCAATTTTTTAATGAGGAAATTTTAACATTTTCATAAGTTCTGCTATGAGGAAGACAAAAGTACTCCATCCTTTTTGATTAAACATTTCGATAGGGGATCCCACTCGCGCTGCAGGTGGCAGTGTGGATACCATGTTATGTGCATCGTTCGCACGACGTCAAGCAGCACGGTTCCTGTACTTTAATTATGCCATTTCCCGGAGTAGACCATGAGAAAAGGTTGTGCACTATATTTGCATACCATTAATTGACCAATCCGAGGTGAGATCATCTACAACTTTTACCAGCCCTTTACAAAATTTATGCTAATATAGGGTGCCCTTGGATATTTACATACCACGGCTGCGCAGCAGCGACTTTTACACGTGGTTTGTTGCGACATTCGTTTCTTCGCGGGTTTGGAGAGAATGTGCGGCTCTTCGTTGTTGTCCAATTCAAGGTAAATTTTCTATTTTTTGGATAAAAATAAAGCTGTTTCACTTTCTCTGTTAAAGTAGAAGCTTCAGTCCTCATTGGAGGTTCTCTTAAGGGGATTTCAGGGAAATATAGCAGATTTTATAACATTGCGCGTTTGTGACTGAGCTGCATGAGAGCAGACGTACATTTTGTTCGCGGGATATCTGAAAAATTTTAGCCATAAAAATATCCCTTTTATTCCAATGCATCGTCACATTTTAACCCTCAGAAGTTGTTTTTAACTATTCTTATCGCGATTTTAGCTTAGTATTTTTTAATTTGGACGTCAATTTTGGATGTTATTGGCGTATTCTCCGTTAAATTTAAGCGTTCAAATGTGTCATTTTTGTGTCGCTTGTCTTTTTTAGAAGTTTAATAGTGTATGTGATAATACTTTACATGCTTCATATGAATTTTCTTCGTGGCTGACTTTTGTTTCAGAAACCCATATGTTAAATCAAAAAAAATCTTCGAAATGGCGAGAGTAATGTGATATTTATTGCCTTTATTACCATTTTTTCAAAACGACAGTTAACATTTGAGGAACATGCCCTTTGAAGTTGCCCACAGACTAGACTGAATTGGGATTATATTGTACATAAGGCATAAATCTAATAAGTTTTGAAACAAAAAAATTAGAACTGTAAGCCCCAAAAAATTCCATTTGTTACGTATGTGTAGTGCCGTTATCTATTTTCCCTTTCCTCTGTAGACATGCAACAACAGCTGACCTCAAACATGCATACCAGTGCACAGTGTGCTAGATAATGACTGATCAAGTGGTGCAAGAAGTAAGTAGGGTTACACATTTTGTCAAGGGAAGCCTATTTCAACATAAGTGGGCCAGATACTTTACACCAGATACGTTGCTGATTACAAATTCATTGTGCAAATTATAGGTTGATGTCAACAAACATGAGATAATGTCATCAATTCCCAGTTTTCCACACGTGTAAAAGGTTCTTGCACATGTGAATCACAGTGCATATGCTTGCCAAGAAGGATTGTACATTTTGTGCTGAAGTTCTGCCGAATATTCTTGAAGTTATGGTGAATATAGCATTATGCAATTTTAACTAGTAAAATATGGAAGTTGTAGAATCTGCAGATAAAGATTTTAAGAGCTAGGTAGTTGTAATTTCATGAAAACTTGATAACATGAAACCATTGTTATTGTTTTACATGGAATATCTCACTATAGTATGGTAACGTATCTGATCAGCTTGGTAATGTTTTTGTTCCAATATCAAAATGATATTTTCGTTGTCAAACAGAATCAATGAAATCTCTTAATTCAATTTGCCTGCCACAATATGTACCAGTGAAATTCATATCTACTTAAATATTGCGAAAATTTTATCTAAAAATATGAATTTTCTTGAAGTGGACTTACAGTGTCTGTTCATTCCAAGGCATTTTGGTAGGCTTAACTTCAATTAGGCCTAGAAGTTAGCCTATTTTCCAAAAGATTGTCATTTAACCCCAACCCCAAGGGTGTATGTAAAATCATATCAAAATTTGAGGATTTGGGACTGTTAGGGTTAAACATCTCCTCTATTACTCTGTGTATTCATAATGCACATTATAATGTAGAACATAGAATGACGGAATACGGATCGTTTCTGCTGTGTGAAACAATGCAAAATTGACTTTTATTGATTTTTTAAAATTGTCGATATTTGGCTTTGTTCGTGTGTAGGATGTCCCCTTTTTTAGTTTTTGACGATGCCCATGTCGTATATAGAGTGTAGAGTTTTCAATAACATCCTTATTATAATTGGTTACAGCAGCTACATGTATACAGCTTTGTGTTAGTGCTGCTCACTGTGTTACCCTGTACATCACATTTTTAAAATTTGATTTGCCAGATACATTACCAAAAGACCTTGGCATTGGGATCTTGCTATCTCAATCTCATCAGAAAATATTTGTATAATTACCTGTTCATCAAAAAGATAACTACTTGGCTCGTAGCAAATAAATGTGAAATTGCAACATGCAAAGTGATAGTTGTAGCAACGGACAGTAATGTTCATGTCTGATTGAGAGAAACAGTTTCTCTACCTTATTCTCACAATCTAGAATTTAGGCAAATACCATTGACAAATACCATTAATAAAATCCCTCAATTAAATTCTGTCTTTCACGATGTTTAGCTCTGAAATTCATAATGGTTTAAAGGATCCAGGAAATGAATTTTTCCTAGAATTGCTCTTTGTGTATCTCTCTACTCTTCTTCCATGTATGAAGACTGTTTGACATCTTTTTTGAGTTGCATGAACTGAACGGTGCACTTTTCAAACATTAAAAATTGATCAAGCATTTCTGGACATGTGAGGGCGCTTTTGCTTTGATTTAAATCCAGGAAGACATGGTTCACGTTGCATGTTTTCATGTTTAAATTGTGAATCCTAAATTTGCAATCTGGGAACATTTCTGGGAAGAAGATTTTCGCTGGATTATTGTCATATACTTACACAGCAATAAATTGCCCAAGAAAGTAAAATCTGCCATAGCAGTGGTTACAAAAATCTAGAAAGTTTTTGGTCAGTGCAACATTGAGATTCAGTGCCTTGGATGACATAGTTCCGTTCATGAATGTGCAAATATGCATTAGCATAAAAACAACATCATCAAAATAGGGGTTAAAATTGCAAAACAAAAATTCAAAATAAGGTTAATTGAAATGCAAAGATGCATTTTCAAGGGTTTTTAGTAAAATTTATAAAAATATTTCTATCTCCTGGTTCCTTTAAGCCTCCCCAGATTTTGTTTCAAAACCAACTTTTGTATAAGTAGAATGGTGGTATTGTATCGGTTAGGTCATTAAAATACAATTGAGAAGGTTCAACTTCAAGTATTTGTCAAAAATATGGTTGAGTTAAGAATCAGTTTGGTTTTGTTCCATGTTCTGGAGCTATTAAACTTGATGATTTTGAGCAGATTTCATATATTCATTGTAGTTGATATTTTGCCCTAGTTTCAACTTGAACACTTTAGCGAAGAATGTGCCTTTTAAGGACTTTTCTTGTTTGTGATATTGTGGACTTGTGACAGTACTTTTTTACTGCATGTCAGCATAGTGTTACATGACAGTGCAATTGAGTG